ATCAAATACATTCAAGTTCTTCATACGAAAAACAATCCCCTTCATGTTCAAACATGAGTGCAAACTTGTGTTTTGCTGAAACAAAGCCACCCAACTGCTGCATATCCACTTTCATTTTAATTACATGTAGTGCAAACAATCCCCAGCATCACTAATAAGCATAACTTTTCAATTTGCTTTTGCTAGCAAGTAGTTGCTACAAAGCTTTACACTAAGTATATTAACACTAACAAAGAATAAAAGTTCAAAATTTCCATTGAAAAACAACCAGGTCTGTCGCTTATTATAATAAAAGCATTGATTGGGGCTGATAGGGAGAGCCAAAGAAATGAAAACCAGACAGGAAACGTAGAGATTCATTTCTTGCCAGTGAAGACAATTTGAAGAAAGAGAGGTGCTAAGAAATAGACAAATAGGAATAGATAAAAAGAGTGATAGAGAGAGAGAGAAAGAGAGGGAGCAATATGGAAGTAAGAGAGAGAGAGAGATGGAAGAAAGAGAGAGAGAGAGAGAATGCTGGCTTAATAAAACAGGCCATTCAGTGTGCAGCACGGTGGAAGTTAATCAAGTTATGATTAATGTGTTACAGCTGCCGTTATCTTTTCAATGAAGCCTGTTTTCTTCTGTCTCAGCCCCCAAGGTGCACAGGAACACACACAAATACACAAAGAGAGAGAGACGGGGAGAAACACACACACACACACACACACACACACACTCACACTCACGGCAGATACACAGGTACGTTGTTTGAGTCATGATGCACACATGCTGGAAAGCAGCAGATAGATGTCAGCGTATACACTGTGAGTCATAAAATCCTCTCACATGCATTTACACACACAGCACCACACACAAAGGCATCACCCAGATATCCAGGTAGACACTGTTTCATAAAAGATGAGAGTACAGACGCAAACACACACACTCGCACACACAAAAGTGAGTGATAAGGTGTTGAATAAAAATGGCAGCATCTAATTGCGTTTCTTTGTTAGGGTAATTTGATAGGCTCCACAGGCTGGGGCCTTAATCAACACCTTCAAATTACTAATCAAAATGTTCCTCTGTCAGACTTCTCTGACAGTGTGGGTTTGTGTTACTGTGTGTATCCATATCTGTGACTCACAAAAGTTCATATGGGGATTTTGACACCTGGATGTTTTCTATTATGTCCTTATTTCAAGTATAAATTCAGTGTACATTCATGTATAAGCACACTCATTATATAAATCTCAAAAAAATATTTCACTTGACAACTGACAAGTTAACAAAACATGCAGTAGTGAGGCTTCACTGTAAAGTTTGTAAAAACAAATTGTACCAAATATGACTAGAAAGCTTTAAGTGGCATATAAAATCTACCAAGGATGCATAAAAGTTAATACAATTATGAAACAGTTAATTTATATAATCATACTGAAAGACAAAATCCTGAGGAACACTGATGCTTTGTGCAAGGACGTTGACCATGATGAGTCCCACTAACTGAAATTGGCAACTGTGGTAATTTAAAATGATTGTTACTTTAAAGCCATCTATAGACAAAATACAATAAAATGTTGCCATACTGCTCAGAAATGATACATACAGGTCAACTAAATATGGTGTTAAATGTGTTCAGTGGGTCAGATTCTATGTGATGTTTGGAGGAGTGGTAAAAAAAGTATGTATTATGACCCAAATGTAAAATGGATTATACAATTCTAATGTTGAGCTTTACTATAGATATTCTTATAACAGATAAAAAGACACATAGGGCAAAATGCATGACCCCCTTCTGATGATAAGAAATAACAACAACAACAAAAAAACATTTTCTACACACAAAATGGTTTATAATGGTTTAAATTATATAATAATTTATATTTAATGTGCTATATAAATCAAATCAATTGGTCATGCCACACTTTCAATGCTTGAAAAATCCTAAAGCTCCTTGGCGTTTTGAAGAAAGATGGTTAATAGCACCCAATTCTCATGCGTAAAAGGAGTTTTTTTTTTTTGTTACATTCATTTCACTGCTGAACGTTTAGGATGTTTTTGAAAAGCTTTTTTCAGTTGATGCACATCAGACAGAGAGCAATAAAAGCTTCCTGCCATTGTCAGACCCATCTCTGTGTTACATTGCAGGCATTTAGTTGACACTCGCATCCAAAGTGACTTACACGGAGTGCAACAGCAGAATAAGCTTAACTTCCTTCGTCACCAACATTGTGCACAGCCAATAGCAAATAGAGGAAAGGTCAGAGGTCATTGCATGGTAGAAAATATTCTTGTTAGTGCCGAATAAACATGAAGAAAATTGAAGAACAAAAATAAGAAGTGAGAGCGAGAGGCAGAAAATGCGTGCGCACACACACACTCATACAAAAACACACACATGCATTTTAACACATTGCATTGAGTTGTTCCTCCTGGCACTGTCTGTCTCCTTCTCCTTAACATTTAGAACAATTCACACCCTCAGTGTTTGTGTGTGTGCACTTGTGTCTCAAGCACTATTGTGTTCATGGGTCTAGTGCTAGGTGTGCATGTGTTTGTGTGTAACTGTTTTTATGTTTAATGTGGTGTAACTTTGTGTGTTTGACTGTTTGACAGCTTCACTCCCTGACAAGGTGTCTGACACCTCTTCCCTGTCTGTATGCCTTCATAAAGATGTGTGAAAGCCTGTCTCTTCCTGAAAACACACACACAAACACACACAAACACATGCACGCTCTTGTTACTAGGTAGATTTTACTATAATAAGTCAAACATCTGCAGCAGTAAACCTGTCTGCCCCTCAATGTGTGAACGAGAGGAGAGATGTGCAGTACTGACGCTGCTCAGTATGACCCGCCAGACAGCTTCCTCAAGTTACCCTGCCAGTAATTTTCTAAGTGATGTCTTCAGGATGCTGTACACTAAATATCTACAAATATGGACAACTGCAGTGCTTCCCATGAGTATTTGGGCAGACCCTTCATTTTCTTTTTACTCCAAACCATTGAATTTTAAATGTAACATGACTAGTGGGTAAAGTGCTGACTTCCAGTTTTTTTATACAGTCACACTTATATTCCTCCACAATTTTTGGGGACCAAATATGAATCCAACATTTGCTGAAAAAGTGCTTTCAGCAGGTGTTCTTCATTCACAACAGAGCTAGCAAAGGTTGAGTGTTGATTAAAGGTAGAGTCTCTCACCACAAGCAACAAAGAACAGGCCATCTTAAAACTGAGTAATCAGAATAAATCATATGCTTTAACATGTTCCTGCCAAGTCAGCCATCTAACCTCAGTCCAACTGATCGTGTGTTTCAATGCTGAAGACCAGGCTGTGAACAGAAAGGATACCAAATGTCTTTTGATGGTAGAAAAGGATCTGTCATGGAATTCTAAATATGAAGCTTATAAGTTTAGTTAAGTAAATTAGTATTAAGTAAATACTTTGTTTCTACCTAAAACTGGGTGACAGGCACCCTGGCAGCTCACGTAGAGCACGTGCCACATATAAAGGCTAAAATATAACTGTCTAATGTGGTTTTGAACAGCCTCAAATTAAAGCTTAAAGTTGACACTTCAATCTCAAAGTCACTGTTTCATTTCAAGTGCAGTGTGCTTGATTAAAGAGTCAGCACACCAGAAAAAAAGTGTCACTGTGAAAATACCTACAAACTGCACTGAGCCCCCCTAAACTGGAAATCATCCAGTCATCAGGTGAAAGTTTCCCCCCCTGACAGGAGACAGTTGGTCCATTGACATTGAATTAGTAATTGACTTTGTAAGCTAATAGACTTTCCGTCTGAGGTATTCTATCCAAATGAGTTTGATTTGAATGTAGAGCTCCCAGCGGCGAGTTAGAAATTGTGCCCATAGCCCAAGAAAATGACCGTGGCTGCTGTAGCTTTGTCTCAGCAGTTGTTCCATTATTCACCGTCTACAGGGCTGCTTCAAGATTTATCGCTACATGGAATCATTACAGTCCATCTCCCGTACAGCTTAGAATAAGACTGGTTTAATTTCACCAATTACAGTTAAACTTGGGTTCTGAAGCATCAGAAATTATACTTTGCACAGTAGTTTATTTCAAAAAAGTTGTTCTCAGTTCAGTCCCTGCTGTGTGTACTCAGCAAAACCTGATATAAAAGTATATCTATAAACGACTTAAGTTTTTCAGAATATAAGAAGTTTAATGGAATACCTTGTCACATTTAATTGTTGTGAATGTCCTTCGTGATGACATTTTCTGGAGCAAGCAGCGGGTCTCATTGTGCCCCACAGGGAAAAAGCTCAGAATTAGATTTTGGATGACTTAATATTTCTGTTGAGTTGGTTCCCAGATATTTGAAACTTTTCCACACTAAATAATAGAATTTAATGATGAGGAACAGAGCTGAAATTTAATATGCTTTATCTTCCTCCACTCCTCTTTTTCCTCCTTTCTTCGTCCTCTCTTCGATTTTTCTTCACACTCTCCTTTAATTCTTCCCTCCCTTTGATATTTTGCTCCTCTCTGTTCAGTCTCACATGCACATGTTTAGGACTGGAGGATGAAGTATGTGTTCCAATATGTCTGCAATGTATTTATGGATGTTCTTTGCTGTATTTCATTTTGTGTTTAATGGCTGCATGAGAGTGCAGTTTGAAGGTTTATTCACACTTTTCACTTTATTGTTGTGAGACTTTTAACTGAGGTCAGTAAAGTATGCAAATCATTAGCACTTATATTCTGATACTCTTCTAAAGTTACCATAAATAAATGTGATTGTTGCTGAGATGGTTAGCTTCCACTAACCTCTACACTTTTTAACACTTGCCAATGCCAAGTTATGTTTGGCTTTACAATGTGTCATCACACATCAAACTGTTATTTACTTCAAATTGTGCTAGTATAAGGTACAGTTGTTGCCAAAACTTGTGTTCAATTCAAAGCAGACAATAAATATAAGAACACTCATTGAAGTCAAAATGCTTTAAAATGCCTTAGAATGTTTTGTGTTCTCTCTGTCTCTGCAGTGCCTGGCTCGGTGCCGATGGAGTCTCTGCAGAATACGCCCTATGAAGAGAAGATCTTCATGCAGTGGAAAGCTCCCAACGAGACCAACGGGGTCATCACACTGTACGAGGTCAGTCAAAAACTTCCAACAATGCCCATCCTCAGTGGCAACTTTACAAGGTCACGGTAAAGGTTACTGACCTAAATCCATACACTCCGGGATGGACTCCTCGTGGTTCAGTATAGTTTTATTTGAAATGGTTGATTTACTTTTTAGTTGAGTGTTCACTAAGCCCAATTTTAAAGAAACTAACTCGATGAATACTTACGTGTCGTTTAATACATGATAAGAGGAGTCACAAACTATGATAATCATTACTAAGATTAATTACCAATTCAGTCTCTAGACTCAACTTGTCAACTTCACTAAACAGTTGTTGATGGAACTTAAAGTTACAGAGAAGTTTCAAATATTGGTGAAAATAAACCAGTGAATTTTACTTGGCAACAACTATTACATAAATTGACAGATTTAGCATTGAGTCAGTTAACATGACTTCAAAAGTGGTAGTTGGATTGTATTGGATTGTGAAGATGCACACAAAAGATAAGGGTTTGGAGGAAGCAGAATACTTCTTAGTAATACTGAGTACTAGCTGCACTTAACAACAGTAGTGCACAACCTTTGACCAAACACACAACACATACACATTGTAGAGGGCCTATTTTTCACATTGATATCATTTTGCGCTGAAACTACTGAGTTGTGACAATGTGTGAAGCTGAGGGTTGCAGGTTTGATCCCAGGTTTTATGCTGATCTCATGTCCCAGATCTCTTATTTAACCTTGGCTGGCCCTCCAGCAGCTTTCAGCTTTATTACAAGAGTCTGTCTGTCTATCCGTCTGCAGCCACAAACCACTCAGACCTCTGTCATCCACCACTGGAAAAGAGGCAGAGGAGGAGGAGCCGAATAAGCTAGACACGAGAGAAGAGAGCAGAGAGAAATGGAGGAGACATAGGCACAGGGTAGAGAAAGAAAGAAAGGAGGGAAGGAGAATATATATATATTGATTTGCGCATACATTTATAAGACATAATACACGTAATCAGGTGAATGGAGAATGAAAGAAGAGCTGAGCGCTCAAAGAACTTGTTGAGCCGCTTTTTCAAGAATAATACTTACAACCCAGTCAAGTCTCTGTGCGGGCTAGTAAAGTTCATCCACATCAAACTGATAAAGGGAATGGCCTCACCCAACTGCTGAAACTATGAAGCTAGACAGGGGTGTCCACATACTTTTGGCAATATAGTGTACATATGAGAATGTCTGTTTTAAATTGTCTTTTTTTCAGCGCTGACATGGCAGAATGTCAATCTAAGTCTAAGGTATAGTCATTATGGGGCGCCCGGTTAGCTCAGTCGGTAGTGCTGGTGACCCATGTACTCTCTCTCTGCCCCCCTTTCCTGTTTGTCTTCAGCTTTCACTATCCAATAAAAGGCCAAAAAAATAACTTAAAAAGGGCAACAAGCCACAGAATACTAAGTAGCAACTGACTGGTATTTTTGAAGATGCATCAGTTAAAAAACTCAAAACTCAAAGACAGGGTCTTTTTTGAACACAATCTAGACCTGAAGATATAGAAACAGTAGTTTGTCATATATAGTCTAATACATCACTGCCAGTCATATTGGTATTAAATATGAGTTATATCCAGGAATAGATATGATAATAACACTCATATTAATTTAGATATGAGCAGCAATTCAAAAGTGAGTGCAAATTCTTGTGAAAGGAGAAAGAGGAAAGTAGGGCTTGGAAATATAGAGAAAGTGGAAGAGAGACTTATCCCTTGACAGCCCTTGAGACAATGTTTGGGAGGGAGTGAGATAGAGAGACAGATTGAGAGACGTGGGTGTACACTTTTGTGTGTGTGTGTGTGTGTGTGTGGTCATAGACGGTTTATTCGGGTTGAAGTTGAGTTGAGCCCTCTATCTAATGAATTATTGACCCGTTCTCTGTCTCCTGTCTGCCTCTTATATCACTGCATCAAGGAGCTACCTCACACCAAGACCTGGCAGGGCTATTAGTGTGTGTGTGTGTGTGTGTGTGTGTGTATGTGTGTGTGTGTGTGAGCCAGTGAGTGAAAGAGAGTGAAGTACTAAGCAAAGGAATGTGTGTTCTTGAACGAGTTGGTGAGTTTTTGAGTGAGTGTGTGTGAAAGAAAGTGAGTTAGCAAGTGATGAAAAGTGTGTGAGGAGTTAGTGAAGTAGTCAGCGATAAAGTGTGTTCTTAAGTTCGTGAATGTGCATGTGTGTATGTATGAGAGAGAGTGTGAATGAGAAAATGTTATAAAATTCTTGAGTAAGTGTGTGTGTGTGTGTGTGTTTGAGAACCCTGTGTGTGTAAGACCGGGTTATTCAGGACAAGGTTTCTATATACTTTCTTCCTATGCCATAATGAATAAGAATCTCAAGTCTGTCTTTCTCAGTTTGAAAACGCTTCTTCCAATTATGAAACATGTATTGCCCATATAGGAATCTAAACTCTATGCTCTCATTGTCTTCGTATATCCCATAACACACAGTTATACATTCCTCTTAATACACTTATGCACTAGAGTGGAAACCTGCAGATTAAGTTTCACTTGATTTGTAACACAAATGTGATACATTTGTAACACAAATGTGAACTCCAACCATGGACTTGACTAAAGCTACAGCTGATTTTTGATTAATCATTAAATATATAAAATGTAAAAAAAAATGGCCCAGTTTAATTTACAATGATATAAAGCTGAAAGTAGATAGAACGTTTTCTATCAAACACCTAAAGACTGTCATCCTTCTCTGTCTGTTTATAAGTGAACATGCACAGCTATCATTTGGAGGCTTTTGTGTGATCGTTATTATTGAGGCTTTTACAGTTAGGTTTACAACATTAACATTTTCTCCAAATGTCTCTTTATACTACGTCAACTGACTTTGAAACGATTCTTGAGCTTCACCCACACTGCACATTATGAAGAGTAGAGCCACTGACCATGCTGCCATATTTGACAAGTTGGGAGTGAGAATAGGCTGGTCTGTAACACACCATCTAATAATATTTAGATGATGGCTGGTATTATCCAACGGACTTCTTTGCTAAATCTATTTCATACATTTCCAATAGCGGTTTTTCAGCTTAATTGAGACTGTTTAGCTGCCCGCTCTCAGTTTATCGTACATCTTGTAACATAAGCATATCTTATTTTGGCAGCAACTTCCTCTAATATAATTGCCTCTATTTTCTCTCAAGCCCTTTCTGCATCAATCTTCAGTCACTCTCTTTCTGCGCAGTACAAAAAACACTCAGTACCATCTCTGAGACTTCCATTAGACCTCGACCCAGAGCTTGAAAAACACTCTACGCAGTCTATAAACCTTTTGGGACCATCATCAATTTCGCCTTGTTTTGTGTCGGTTTCATTAATGTGAATATAAGCTCCCTGCCCTCTCTGCCCAGCGGAGGCGGCACGACTCTGCATCATCTGTTAAACATATCAGAGCCTCAACACAATGCGCTGCTATTAGAGATAATTACTATAATTGCAGCTATTGACAGGATTAAAGGCATCATCTGCAACATCTAAAGGGGCTCTTGTTGTGTCCTATCCTGCTCTGTTGTATCTTGTGTTTTCTTTTTTTTTTTGGTATCTGTTTCCCTCGCTTTTCAGGATGAAACCCAGATGAATTACACCTAGGACAATGAGAGGGAAGGGGGAAGGAGGTGGGGGGTTGAGATGGATGGGTGGAGGTGGAGAATTGTGAGGAGAGATAAGGAGAATGAGAAGAACGAAGAGAGAACTGGGAGAGGAGATAAAACATATCGAGTAAGCAAGTAGAAATGTGTCCGAAAGAAATTCATCATATGGCATGATTACATGAATTAATTCAGTGTGCAAATATGATCACTTCATCTCTTGCATCCATTACTATAATTGCAGCTAATTACAGGATTAAAGGAAACATCTGGGTGAGATCTGAAGGGACCAAGACCCCCCCCTCACTCCCTCTTGTCCTATTCATCTGAGGAAGGATAAATTATGTCTGGGGAAAATGTGATGGAGGGAGGAAGTGTGATGGAGGTGAGATAAGAGCAAAACATGGATTTTAATTTGAGGAACAAACATCTTGAGGTACAAAAGTATTACTGTTTTTTTTATTCGTGGATGTAGGAGGGATAAACTGTGATTCTAAAAAATAATCTACCACTGCAGCAAGTCTGCCAGTTCTAATCATGTCACAAAAAAACAAGCAAGAACAAGAAATGTATCGATTACTATATCTGAAATATTGACAAGCCAGTCTTTTGAATATGGATTTCTCAAGCTCTGCAATTCGGTTGTAACTGCCCATTTTGGATCTTAACTTTAAGGAATAAACTGCTATTCTAAATGTAGGCTTTAAGTACCAGAAACTTTTGGAGATCAGGAAACACAGTAACGCCAGATTAGACAAACGTAATGCAAGGTTTTACTGTGATCTTCTTAAATTGGCATGGCACATTTAATTGGCACTTAATCTGATCAGTATGTCATTCTTAGCTGACATTTAGCCCCAGTCAAAGTAGAGCTTTCCATCTGCCACCACAGAATTGCTAATAAATGAGTCTATCCCACCCTCCATTTTGGGTGGCCACTGCCAATCAGGAAGAGAATCTGTCAAATTGTAAATTTCTAATCCAAAATAATGAACGTGATTGGTGAATCTCGTATGCACTGGACATCATGGCAAGTGGACAAAGTAGTTCATTTCAAGTCTTAACTTTCTTGCACAGAGTAGATTAGATCAAATTTGATGCAGGATTTTTACTCTGATCTTCTTAAACTGGCGTGGTGCAGTTTAATTGGCACACAAGCTGGTCAGTGAAACTGTTAGCTGGGATTTAACTGTAGGAATTTACAAGATTGGGTTTCAAAGTCTTCAATTTGCTAAATGGATGTTTTAAACATCCAAAAGTGTATAGCAGGTGGAAATAAAATAACTTGTTCTTGTATAAGCACTTTAATTTGTCATGTCAACCAGTTTTCTATAATAATGTGTCAAAATTAAATACACAATGTTTTTTTTTCCTATGAAATATCCA